AGCATAACGCTGGATTTCTCCTAGTACCTTCTGTCCACGAACTGGGCAACGGCCCAGCTTATGTAGCAATGGGCCAGGACTGAAAAACCCACGGCCTGCGTTCCGGGCCGTGCAGATCGACATCCGATCCACGGTCCAAACTGGTTCAGCCCTTGGCCTAAAACGGCCTGCCTGGGGCCCTACCGGACGTCCAGGCCCAGTCCAGGATTCAGTTTCCTGGTACCTGGCTTCGAACTGGTCGTGTGCGGACGTACCCGGCCTCAACGTCGGCCTGCGTCCGAACAGGTAGCAATCTGTTCGAAAACAAAAGAAAAGGTCCAAACGTTTTTAGGAGCTCAGCCTCTGGGCCTGACTCTGGCCCTGGTCCTAAAACGTGTACCTGGCCACAAAACGGACAACAGTACAACCGTTAGAAAAACAGCAGCAAATGAATAAATAAAAGAATATAAAATAATCTAAAGCTGGCGTTTTTCAGATGCAGGCCCAAGTAAAAATGCCATAGGGCCTTCAAGTTGCGGTGACGCGACCTGGGGGCCCTATTCCAACCTCAGGTCCCGTGAGGGGCCCGTGTGTAGGCTTTCAGCATGTAACACGCCCCCCTCCTTATGAAGACGATCCGGGGCGCGGGCGAAGCTGCCGATCCGATGGCAGAATGTAGCGAGGAAGGCGAGGAGCTGGAGTGCTCACGTAGTCTTCCCTTTGCTAACATAACGTGACAGAACGGCGGGAGCTGTGGCCTGCAGTTCCGAACGCGTCAGCCAACGGTCAGCCTTGTGGCTGCAGTAGGAAAAGTGAAGTAGAAACTCTGTTTCTTTGTTGCCATGGCGCCGGTTGGTGATGATGTAGCTGGCCTCCTGAAATCCGTCCATGGAAGGAGGGTATTGCGTACGTCGACTGGGAAACTCGTCGGTCTCCGCTGAAGCAAAAGGAGCGAGTTTGGAACAGTGGAACACCGTCTGGACGGGCAAGTGAGGTGACACCGCGATGCGGAATGAAGGCCCCTCGGGATCATCACCAACTGCAGAGAGAATGCGCCAAGGCCCCATCCACTTGGGAAGGAGCTTGCGAGAGATGTCTTGCTCATGGCTGAACTTCGCGATGGAGACCCAAACCAGATCGCCGGCGCGAAACGGGCAAGGAAGGCGATTGCGGTTGGCTTGACGGCTCATCCGTATTTGTGTCTTCGACATCTGATCCCGTGCCTTGACAAGAAGCTCTTGCATGCGACGAAGGAACGCAAGATGGTCGTCGCTCTCGGCTGTGCGCGGCAAAGTGGCGTCCAGCGGCGATGAGATGGGTGAACCATGCTCAAACTCGAATGGCGACATCCCGATAGCCGGATGGATCGATGAGTTGTAAGCCAACTCAACGTCTGGCAAGCGCTCAACTCGGATGAGAGTGCGTAGAAGGACTTGAGCCGTCTGATGCGCCCTTTCCGTGTTTGACCATCGGTTTGCGGGTGGCGAGCCGAACTCGGCTTCAAAGATGAGCCCCATCGCTTGACAAGGGCGACCCAAAAGTCGGAGAGAAAGCGAGAGTCCCGGTCGCAAACGATCTCCTTGGGGTAGCCCTTGGAGCGAATCCAACCGGAGTATAAGACCTCGGCTAACTCCGGTGCCTTTGCGTGATAGCGGCAAGGCAAAAAAATGGCGTACTTGGTGAGGCGGTCGATGACCGTGAGGATCCCATCAACGCGGGTCTTGTGCTTTGGGAAGGGGCCGGTGATATCCATAGCAATCGCTTCCCGTCGCCCAAGGGGAACTGGTAGTGGGTGTAGCGCTCCAAACGGACGATGGTTGCGTGACTTGCAACGCCGACAGACTTTGCACGACTCACAATAGCGGGTGGTGTCCTTGAGAAGGTCGGGCCAATAGAACCGCTGGCGAAGTCGGCCAAGTGTACGGTTGACATCAAAATGTCCGGAGGTGGGCGCATCGTGAAACTCGCCAACAAGCCGTGTGCGTAAGTGTGAATCACTCGGCACACAAAGAAGATCCTTACCCCGTGAATGCACAAGTAAGTAGCCCTCTTGGATCCGATAATGCGAAGGCACCGGATTCGGAGAGGAGCAATTCGCGTACTTGTCGCGAAAGTGGGGGTCGGCTTGATAGCCGCGGATGAAACTCTTCTGCAAGTCGTCGTCGATCTCGAAGGTAGAGTAGACTGCGGTGCAAAGATCCAGTCGCCGTGAGAGGGCGCCGCAAAACGGTTTGACTTTCCGGGAATGTGATCAGGGAAAAAGTCAAACTGGTCGATGAAAACCATCCATCGGGCAATGGTACTGTTAATCGTGTCTTGCGACTTGTAGAATACCAACGGATTGTTATCCGTTACCCATCAGAATGCTTTCCGACCAAGGAGGAAATGTCGCCAACGCTTGAGGGCGTGGACGAAGGCAAGAAGCTCCTTCCGTGAGTCGTCGATCGAATGCACAAGAGGTACTTTCTTGCTAAAGTACTCGACCGGGTGCCCAGTCCGTGCCATCGTGCTGCTCAAGGACGGCCCCAATGCCATAGCCCGATGCATCGGTAGTGACGCGCGTAGCTAGAAGCGGGTCGTAAATATGTAACACCTCGGCGAATAAGGGTGCCGCTTTGAGTGTTTCAAAAGAATGGCGCGCATCGTCGTCGAAGTCAAAAGGCCGCTCCTCGCTTTGTAACTTGCTTAGGTTGGCCGCAATCTTCGAGTAACTCTTGATGAAACGATGATAATAATCGGCCAAGCCGAGGAAGGATCGGACGTCCGTCACATTCTTCGGCTCGGGCCACTCCTGGATGGCTTGAATATTGTCCGCCAACGGACGAATGCCTTCCGGAGAGACAAAATGACCCAAGTATTCAAGCTCTTGCCGGACAAACTCGCATTCGTCGTGGTTAGCTTTGTACCGGGCTGACCGAAGAGTCTCTCTTGAACACGGCAAAGGTGCTCGAGATGCCCCTCTAGAGTTCGGCTATAGACGAGGATGTCGTCTAAGTAGACCAAGACGAAGCGGTCCAACATAGCGCGAAACTCGGTGGTCATGGCCGCCTGAAAGGTGGCCGGGGCATTGGTGAGGCCAAAAGGCATAACTACCCACTCAAAATGCCCATATCGCGTCTTAAACGCGGTTTTGTATCGATCTTGCGGGCGGATGGAAATCTGATGGTAGCCYGACTTGAGGTCCAACTTGGAAAAGTACTTGGCGCCGCCCAACCGCTCCAGCAAATCGTCRATGCGAGGTAGAGGCCCCGCGTTCTTGATGGTTTGCGCGTTGAGGCGTTGGTAGTCAATGCAAAGTCGAAGGTCCTTGTTCTTCTTCCGAACGAAGAGAACGGGCGCACYGTAAGGTGAGCTGCTAGGGCGGATCCAACCCTTGTCAAGTAGWTCGTCGAGTTGCGCACGGAGAACCGTGAGCTCCTCCTCGGACATGCGATACATGCATTCTTTCGGTGGCACGGCGCCGGCCTCAAGTATGATCTCGTGAGAGATTGGCCGGTCCGGCACTATACCGGAGGGTGTCTCAAAAACATCCGAGAACTCGTCTAACAACCGAGTCACACGGGGGTCGGAAGACACATCCGTGGACGATGAATCGGTCATCGAGACGATTCGAAGAAAAGCGATGCCAATCTCTTCGACATGCTCGGAACGGCATTTGTCTCGAAAAGATTTGGCACTCACGACTTGGCACCGAATGGAAGAGCGAGGAGGAGGAATAGTACATGGGACCTCGGCGCCAGTTGCATCACGAATCGCGAGCGTGCGTCGATGAAAATTGACCGTGTGGTCCACGCTAGAAAGCCAAGGCATCCCCAAAATGACATCGAAGTCGGTGTCCAACACGTCAAAAGTGACGGGTTCACATGCGTGCGGTGCAAAGTACACCGGGACAGCCGAGATGTAACGTTCTAAAAGTTGTTTCGTCTCACCGTCGGCAAGAGCGACCGTCATCGGATGTGACTTCCTCCGTACTTGTGCGCCAAGGCCAGCCCGAGTCATGAAGGACTGGCTGATGAAGTTGCGAGTTGCGCCGTAATCTAGCAAAGTGTTGCAGGCCGCTTGCCCAATCTGAATGCGAACGTAGAGCAACGGTGAGTTGTTTTCTTCGTACCGTTGCGAGACAAACTCGCGGGCCACCCTGGCAACGTAGCCAAGCATGTACCCCACCGCGACTTCGTCTAGTGTCGGCGAAGTTGGTGGTGCATGGAAGGAAAGATACTCGTGTAAGAGGGCGCATAGGGCTGCGCTTTGCGGCCCCGGAAGGTTGCCCGTCGTAGGGAGAGGAATCCAAGCGAAGTGGCGTGAGCGGGTCGAAAGCCTCCTCGTTGAACACGCTTGCCGAAACCCTTGATGAAGACGAACTGGCGGAAGAACCTTCGGACGGTGAGAAAGCCGCACATGTATCTTGTCCTTGAGAAGCATCCAGTGAAGGAACGAGCCGGGCAGCCAAGTCTTCAAATGAAAGTGGAAGACTCCCGACATCCGCATATGCCTCGGAAGAAAGGGTTATCTTGGCCACAACCGCTTCCAATGGCGTCGAGGGAGGTGTCGAGTCACCCTCGGCGGCGCCTACTTTCCCGGACGGGGTTTCCCCTTGGTGGGGCAATGTGCAGCATTGTGGATGGTGTTGTTGCACCAAAGGCAATAATGGTAATTGAGTCGCGTGCGATAGGAACTCGCCGAGAGTCCGTATTGTGCCCAAGGTTCGTCGGCGGCTGATCCGGTGCTCGGTGTAGAGGTGGACTGAGTCTTCGTCTTGTCGCGGCCGTGGTTGTTGCGCGGCCGGCCACCATCTCGGGCAACTGCCAACACCTCACCCTCGTTTGGTGTTGCAGCCTCGGTAGAAGTAATGCAAGCCACCTTTGTCTTGGGCTGTGTGCCGCTCGTCGTCGCGGAAGATCGGYCGGCGTTGCGGGCTTCGATATTCGTGAGAATGATCCGTGACGCTGTGCCGAAAAGCTTGTCAGATGTGTCGAGTGTCTCTGCAATCTGCGTCAGCGCGTTTTGCAGAGCTGGACACGAGGGCATGATAAACAAGTGCTTGATGGCGTGGAATGCGAGTGGCAGGTCAGGTGTGGAGGKGAGTCTTAGGAACTCGGTAATCCAGTCCTGACCGAGTAGCGTGTTCTGATGGAGCTTGTTGAGCTTGTCCATCGCTTGCAGGTCGGGCGGCTCCACTTGGAATCGCTTGTGCTAGGCGTCAGTCAACTCCTGCCAAGTGAGCTTGGTGTGCAGTTCCGACCCTGCTACGCCGTGGCTGGTCAAGATGTTGTCCATCCATGCTTGACACACCACCAGATCGGTGGTACAAGCACGGATGTCGATCGTTGTTCGGGACATGGCGCATGTCGAGCCGTAGAGTAAACTGGCGCCACCATGGGATCGGTTCCGTCTTGGAAAACCGGAATGTCATCTACCTTGGGTGGGCGCCTGGAGGATGCGGCGGCGGGCGTCACGGTGGCAGCAGCCTGGACCTGCGTCTCTAACTGCAAGTTCGTTGCTTGCTGCGACGTCCTGAAGTCGTGATGCACACGCTTGATATTGCTGACGTCGTCCTCCAAAACTTGAACACGGGTGGCAAGGTTTGAAGGCCCTGCGGCTGCTACAGCAGCTGGCTGTTTTTCCAACGCCTGCCGCCGTGCGAGCATGTGGTCCACTGTCTGCTGCAGGTGAAGGATTCCCTCCTGCTGCAGAGCGCAGGTGGCCACAAGGTGGTGGGAGACCTGCGCAAGGGATGACAACCCTTTCTCAGTCTCCGGGGCCTCGTCTGTAGATGCCACTTGCACCCAATGTGTGGCCTCATCGCCGATCACGGTCTCCCGCGTGAATAGTCGTTCCCGCTGGCGTGACCGGTGTTCAGCTGCTGCCTGCAGGTCTGCCTCCTCTTGACAAAGTCGGTCCTGTTCCTCCTTTCGTCGCTTGGCCTCCTCTTCTTGCTCAATCTGACTACGTTCCTTGGCCGCGGCGGCGGCCCTATCGTTGGCCTCCTGGATGAATGCCCCCAGGCGTTCCTCATTGTCCTGGAGGGATTCTCCCGCCTTCCGGTCCATGGCCTTGGTCTGTGATCGAGTGAGCAGTGGTTCCTTCCTGCGCACGCCGTGGCTGCTGGTGCCTGCAGACGCTGGCGCAGGGATTTTCTTGCCAGGCACAGGGATTCTTCCCCCCGCCTGCGCACGCCGTGGCTGCTGGTGCCTGCAGACGTGGCAGTCTGCACTGCCCTGTGGATACCTGTTGAAGACCCCCCTGGCTAGGGGGCCTGCGCCACAGACATATATATATTATTATTTTTTTCGTTTTCACTATCTCTACACTGTTGCAGCAGCAGTTTGGCAACAGTTCAAGATTTCCCCATGGCTAGGGGGCTGTGTGACTGTGGCAGTAGGGTGGCTGATCAAGATCTCAGCCAACCCTCCATCATCATCATTACTGCTGTGGCATCACACCAGCAGCATCTTGAAGGCCAAGATCCTGTGGATCTTGGTAGAACTTTGCTCTTGGCCACCCAAGAGCCTGGTATCACCATCCTGCCACTAACCCACTCTCCCCCAACCTCTTTTCTCTTTTTCCACCCATCTTCCACAACCCTTTTCTCTCCTCTCCTTCCTACTCACCATTTCTCACTAATCTCATACTTCTCTCCACCTTTTTCATATCCTTCTCTCCCATCCTACCACCCTCTTCTCCTCCATCCCTCCCCCAACTACAATCCCATCATCTCCTCCATCCCCCACCTTACCTTTTTCTTTCTCTTCTCACTTCTTTCTCTCTTTCTTCATCACTTTTCCATCCCCCCCCACTTCCAACTCCGAATTTTTCTGTTTTTCCTTCTTTTCTCTTTGTTTTTTATGTAAAATTTTCTTTTCCTCCAAAACTCTGAATCATCTTATWCCCTACCTCTTTTCTTATTTTCTGATTTTTTTATTTATTTATTTTATTTATTCTGAAAATTCGAAATTTTCTGCGGCACCCTAAAATCTGATTAGGACTTAGCCATTCTTGCTTTCGGCACACATTTTGACCCCGTGGGGGTATCGAAGTGCTGCCGAAATTTTCCGTTTTCTTCATACTTAGTCTTTTTTCAGCACTTCTTGACCCCTTGGGGGTAGCGAAGTGTTGACAAAATCTTCTTATTTTACTTAGTTTTTTTCTTGACGGCACACTTCGACCCCATGGAGGTAACGAAATGGTGCCGAAATTTTTGAAAAATTCAAAAACTTAGATTCTCTTCAGTCTCCTCCACCTCCTTACCTATTTATTTATTTATTTATTTATTTATTTTTCTTAAAATTTTAATATGCGGCATTTTAAAAGTTAGTGTGTCCCTCTTGCACTTTCCTTCCTCTTCGCACATTTTTGACCCCATGCGGAGTGGGAAAACGCTGCTGAAAATTCCAAAAAAATAAATATTATCTTTCTCCTCAATCTTTACATTTTATTTATTTATTTATTTTTATTTATTCTTTTATTTTATTTTTATCGCGAAAATCCACTGTTTACTCTATTCTCCCTCCCCTCCATATTTATTATTTTCTTTTCTTGATTAGGTCGCCGCYACCTTCCCTTAACCACCTAAACTCCGGTTAGGGTTTCCTTAGGGTTTTTCTAGGGTTTTACGGTTTCCCTAACCCCCCTGCTCTCCCACCTCCTCCCATCGGGCACCCTGGACCCGAACGACTCCTCTCCCCTAGACCGGATTCGCGTCGCCATCTCACCCGCGACCCGTTGGTCACGGGGTGAGCCGACCCACGACTACCCACTCCGCTCCCGCGGTCCTCTCCCTCTCACCGGTGGTCCTCTGTCCCCATACCACAACCCATATCTCCCCCCACCTCCCACCATGTCTACCTCTCTTCCTCCACCGTCCACGGACATGGCTACAGTGGAGGAGATCGTTGTGGCGCCATCCACCTCTCAGGCGTCCACCCACTCCACGGTCTAGGGTCAGCATGGTGTGGACCCCACGGACCTTCGCGCTGTTCTTGCTTCCCTCCTTGCACCTCTGCAAGCGCGACTCGATGCACTTGCACCCCTGGAGACGCAAGTTAATGCGCTCGCCCTTGAAGTTCACCGCCTCAAGGGTTCCCCTCATCGGTCCCCCCACCGCTCTTAGACCCCATCGCCTACCAGCTCGGAGTCTGGCTCTCCACGACGCCAGAGACGGAGACGTGGCGGTTCGTCCTCATCTGCGAGCCAGGCCCAACACTCCCCCGCCCCAGTGGTGAGTGTTGTTGCTGCCCAGACCACATCGTCTGTGGCGGTACACGCATCGGTCGCCGCCGCCTCCGCCGCCCCTGCCGCTTCGGCCACCGCCGGATGTGTGTTGTCGCCAAGATATCGACATCGGGCCAGGCAGTCTCATCTACCCACCCCGGTGCTGCGTCGCAGCTTCCTCCACCAGTTACGGTACTTCGGCCCGGAGTTCTTCCTCTCCCTGCTAGGGCACTCCCTCCGCCTCCTCCACCCCCGACCCCGCGCACCCAGCAAGTGGCTACCCTACAGGCCATTGTGGCGCAACTCTAGACGGAGATTCTCTCCCTTAGACAACCTTACCCTCCACAGGCTGCGCACCCTTCTTCTTCTTACACCGTCCCTCCCACCACTGTTTTCTCGGCTCGCTTCCCTCGACCGGCTCCCCCCCCTCTACCCTCCTACCTTGCTACTCAGTCACAGTTGGCTGCGGCCGTTACCTCCACGCCCGCTGGACCTTCCACCAGCGGCCCCGGCTCACCGCCAGCCCCCCACTTCTACCTCTGCACCAGCTTCGACATTTTCCGCCGTAGTGCAGACCCGTCAGCCCCTCTCCCCTCGCCGCCACCACAGCAGTCGCACCCTTGTGCGTCTGTCGGACATACCCGACTACGATGGTACGATGCGTGTGTCGCACTGGTTACAGGCTGCCACACGCGCGCTAACACTGACTAACACTAGTCAGGACTTTTGGTGTTCCGCCCTCGCAACTAAATTGCGAGGCAGTGCATTCTCCGCTTGGGAGAACTATTATACCCATCGTACTCGTGCAGGTGAGGCGCCCACTCTCGCGGATTTCACCACCCTCGATCGACACTACGCTGACATCTCTCGTCAGCGTCGATCTCAGTCCCCCCCCGCCCCCCCCCGGCCAACCCCATCCACCTAGCCACGATGCACGGTGCCCCTGAGGCCTCGCACGTAGCCGGCTTCCCGACCACCGAGTCGCAGTTTGCCCCTTTGGCTACCCCACGAGAGGACCTTCAGGACACGACAGACGCACTTCTCTTCGCCCCATCGTCTGTCAAAGTACCGTCTGCCTCCCAGCAGACCGCCGCATCTAGCGCTTCTCCCCCGAGACTTCCGACGCGTCGCGCCATTCGCACAGCCCGTTGTAGCGCCCAGATGGCGACTCGCGATGACGTTGTGTCATCTTTCCTGGACTTGAGCATTCCGCAGGCTCGTCAGGAGCGCCTCACGAGACACATCAACGTCCTGCGTCGTCTTCTCGCCTTGCTCTCTGACCTTGATCACACCCTACCCATCATCCCTATTCGCCTAGGGACATCTACGAGGGTGTACCGCGCTTTATGGGACTCTGGCTCGCAGGGAGATTTCGTTCACCCTCGCGTGGTTGAGGAAGCTCGCCTAGCTACCTCTGGGTCTCGCTCTCCTATCTTCGTTACCCTCGGAGAGAACAAAACGCAACGCTTCTTCGATGAGACGGTCCCCGACCTCCACTTCTCCCTCACCCTCCAGCCATCGGATAGTCCCCAGACGCCTAGGCGCTACCATTCCTCCGCATACTTCGACGTGCTGGAGACTGGGTACGACTTTATCCTTTGCACTTCCTGGTCTCACCGGTTCCGTGGCACAGAGGCCGAATGGGCGACCGAGACACTCGTTCTCAAAACGAAGTGTGGTCAGACCCATCGCGTCCCGTTCATTAGAACCACGGGCGACACCCCGCTCGACCTACCTCCCCAGGACCCTCGTCCCTCAGGGTCCCACCCCAACATCGCGTTCACTTCCCCTAGTCAGTTTGCTCACTTCATACGACAGGAGGACATCACGTTCTACTCAGTGAACGTCATGGATCTTCTTCGTTACAATCCACTCTGTCCCGAGGTTGAGCTCATCTCTCTGGAGCCCGATCCCCCTGACCCTCTTTCCATATTCGCGGCTCCCATCTCTACATCCACTCGTCAGCCTGCGGATACCTCCTCCACGTCTCAGGCCCTTGCGCCGTCGACTGTCGAGTCCACACATACGTCTCGTGCTGACGTAGACGCTGAGGAACTCACACGGTTCACGACAGACTTAGAGCCCGCCGTTCGCAACCAGATTTGAGAGTACCGCGACGTCTTCCCCCCCTATTTCTCATACAGCGGGATTCCCCCGATGCACGGTGTCGAGCAGTCCATCCAGCTCGTGCCTGACTATCGTGTTCACCATCAGGCACCATACCTACTCTCGATTCGAGAGGCGACGGAACGCAAGCGTCAGCTTGAGGAGTTTCTTCGACTGGGTTTCATTAAACCCTGTAACTCCCCTTGGGTTGCACCTGTCCTCTTTGCTTGCAAAGCGGACGAAACTCTCCGCCTCTGCATCGACTACCGTGGCCTTAACCGTTACACGGTTAAGAACAACTATCCCATGCCCCGTGCGGATGAGCTGTTTGACCGTCTAGCAGGCAACCACTTCTTCACGAAGATCGATCTTCGTAGCGGTTACCACCAGATCCGCGTTGCCACAGAGGATCAGCCGAAGACCGCCTTCCGATAGCACTTCGGCCACTACGAGCTCACGGTGATGCCATTCGGTTTGACCAATGCACCCGCCACCTTCCAGACGGCGATGAACGACATCTTCAAGGACATCCTTGAAGAATACGTTCTCGTATACCTGGACGGTATCTTGGTCTACAGTCGTACCTTAGAAGACCATCTCAGACACCTCCGCGATGTCCTACAGCGCTTACGCAAGCATGGCTTCTATGCCAAGCTCAATAAGTGCCGCTTTGCCCAACGCAAAGTGGACTTCCTAGGACACCATGTGTTTGACCAGGGTCTCCACATGGACGACGCGAAGATCACTGCTATTGCAGAGTGGCCCGTCCCCATATCTGCCAAGTAGCTTCGCAGTTTCCTAGGCCTCACCAACTACTATAGTAATTTTATCCAGGGATACGCTAGGTATTCCTACGTCCTTACCTCTACCCTCCTCTGGAAGAACCCGCCATGGTTTTGGACACCCCTGTGCGAGGACGCCTTTCGCGCCCTCAAGAAGGCGGTGACCTGTGCGCCGGTTCTTCGCCTTTCGGATTTTGATCGTCCCTTTATCGTCACCACCGATGCGTCAGACTTTGCAGTAGGAGTTGTCCTTTCTCAGGTGTTTCCCTCTCCTCCAAATTCACCTTACCCCCATGTCCCTCATTTCCCCCCCCCTCCTGCCGACACTGCTTCTCGACTGATGCCTACCCTCACACCACTTCCCTCCACTGACAGTCCTCCTGTTACTTACTCCCCGACCATCGCGGAGGATGGGACTGTCGAGGCTCGTGTTGGGGACTGCCCGATCGCTTTCTACTCCTGTCAGCTACTGCCTGCCGAGATAAACTACACTGCCGATGAACGTGAGGTTCTCGCAGTAGTTTATGCTACCCGACATTGGCGTCATTATTTGCATAGGGCGCCCTTCACGGTGCGCACGGACAACTCAGTTGTCCAGGCTTTCCTCACGAGGCCTAAGCTTTCCCCTCGACAGGCACGCTGGTGGCGTGACTTATCCGAGTTCAGTTTCGCCACTCAGCCCATTAAGGGTGAAACAAACCGCGTCGCCGACGCCTTGTCCCGCCGTCCTGATCACAATCAGGAACCCATCCATTTTGCTGCCATCTCCATCACCATTGTTGATCAGTCGGTGATCGACGCGTATCGCACTCAGTACTGCCACTGCCCCGATTATCGCGTCATCCATGCGACACTACGGAGTGGCAAGACCGTTCCTTCCTACTCCCTCGGGGAGAACGGCCTTGTGTACTGGCATGGCAGATCTGGTCAGCTAGAACCACGTATCTGTGTTCCCTCCACCGGACAGCTCCGCGTCCAGGCTGTAGCAGAGTTCCAGGACCAGGCAGCTGCCGACGATGGCTCGTGTTTGCCGCCTATACGTCTGGCCGAAGTCCAAGGACTTTGTCAAAGCCTAAATCCAGGAGTGTCCTACGTGCCTGGAGGTGAACAGTGTGAACCACCTTCCGTATGGGTTACTTCAGCCCCTACCCATACCTGAGGGTCGTTGGCAGTCCATCTCGATGGATTTCAGTGGTCCCCTCCGCCCACCCATTGAGCGCGGTCATGATGCTATCTTGGTCGTCATCGATCGCTTCACGAAGTGTGCACATTTTGTCCCGTGCCGCTATCGCATTAGCGCTCGTGAGGTCGTCGACATCGTCTTCGATCGAGTGGTGAGAGATCACGACTTACCCCAGAGCATCATCTCCGACCGTGACCCGCGCTTTACCAGCACATTCTGGCGACGCCTACACGAGGTGTACGGATCCTAGCTCCGCTCCTCATCGTCTTACCAACCTCAGACGGATGGTCAGACTGAGGTTGCCAATAAAACTCTCGGTAATATCCTCCGAAAGTTTGTTAGGGATGACCAGCAGTGGGACTTACACTTAGCCCACACGAAGATTGCGTACAACCACGTTGTTTCGCCAGCCACGGGGATGTCGCCATTCTATTGCGACCTCGGCTACCACCCTCGCGTACCCGCGGATTTCCTACGACCATCGCGGTTGCGCCCAGACATTCGTTGCCTTGCGCTTGACGATTGGATCGCCCACATGGCGGCGATTATGAAGCGCGCACATGAGAGTTTAGCCGACTCCTAGACTCGCATGGCCGCACGAGCGAACCGATCACGAATGGATCATCCATTCAAAGTCGGTGACGATGTGCTGGTCGACGCACGCCACTTACAACTCGAAGCAGATACGCTTCGCAAGTTCAGGCGTCGTTTCTTCGGTCCATGCCGCATCCTTCAGGCCGTTGGTTCTGATAATGCCGCTAGTCCGGTCAGCTTCCGTGTGAAGCTACTTGATGACCTTTGACATGCTCGCGTACACGATGTTTCCCACGTCTCCTTGCTGCGTCCTTATCGCAGACCGTCCGAGCGCTTCGCTGGATGCCCTTATGAGCGCCCTCCACCTATCATGGTGGACGGTCACGAGAAGTTCGTTGTTTCCGATATCGTATCACGCCGAGTTACTGACGATACCCCTCTATGCATCGAGTACCTTGTGCGTTGGAAGGGCTACCCTGATGAGGAGGCTACTTGGGAGCCCCTCGAGCACTTGCAGCACGCCAGGATGTTGGTGCGTGCATATGATCGTGCTCGTCGTGCTGAGACATCTACTTCTACTCAGTTGACTGACCCTCGTCCTCCTCCTCCGGCTGAGGAGATTGCTGAGGACGAGCCCACTCCCTCTGAGGCCGTTCCTCAGCCACAAATGGTCGCCTCCGAGCGTCCACAGCGCACTCATCGTCGCCCTTCGCGTTACGATGACTGGCACTCTTATCCTCTATCTTTCCCCACTGACTCACACTATCAGGTACTCCATTATCAACTCTTCTCCATGATGTCAGCGTTCTGCGGCTCTGTTTCGACATCGACTCGACTGGTACTTCAACGACGTCATGGACGACTTCAGCTACTTTGGACATGACTACTTCACGTCACCACCCTACCCTGTATACTCCCTTGCCTCTGTCGCATGATGGTTCTCACTTAGCTGGGTCTCGTTGAGTTTGGCTCTCCCTTGGTATCGCATAGGCATTGGGACCGTAGCGTTATTTTGGCTTCCTTGCTCCCAGATCTAGCTCCCTCTCCCAGTCGGTGAGTCGTGTGCATGTTTCCACCACCCACTGCCCTCGTCACCCTAGCGCCGGCTATTGCATGCCTCCAGTCCGGCATAGCTCCACCCGATTCCAGGCTCCCCCTTTTCATGATCGACCCTGCATGGTGTCACCCTTTTGTCGAGCATTACCCGCCTTGATGGTCTATTTGTTAGGGTCATTGGTTTTGTTTCGCTACCACTCTCCCACCTTGAGCCTGATGACCTATCCCACGTTCATGTGTAACTGCCTTTAGGAGTTTCGATTCTTAGGCTGCATTCACCCCCTTTGAGACCATCCCATTCTCAGTGGTTCAGCAACATGACATTATCTTGTGACATATTGCCCTTTTCCTTTCAGCACTGAGGCCACTGCCTCCAGGACTTTAGGATTGTATCATACTACATTTCATTTTCTGCTGTTAGCTAGGATATGTATATCATACATTTGCTTTTCTTTTGACATTATGTAGCTTAGGATGCATCACATGGACTCCGCATGGAGCATGCTCCGCATCTTAGATTTCTCAGCTTTCTTCATTGCAGAGTTTGCGGATTGCGTGTTTATGGCTCTTGCGATCCATTACAGGTCTGAGGATCGTGCAGCGGGCTTTCATTTGCCCTGGCCTACCTGGCCTACAGCCAGGGCCTATTTGGCTATTTGCCCAGTTCGGCCTGTGGGACCAGGCTGTGTGCTGTTCTAGTCCTGCCCGGTACCACTGTCGGTACGAGGCCAGTCCTGTCCAGTCAGTCAGTCCGCTGGGGTATACCCCAACACTTGTCTGTTTTTCGTTATTCTTCACTTTTGCAGATCTTGGAGTACGTGCGTGTTGAGTCTGCGTCGGAGCTGCGCTCTCCATTCCAGCTCCATCTCTATCTCCTCCCTCGTCTACCCTTCGTCTCCATCCTGTCGGACCGCCATCCCGGTGGGTCCGGCACACCGGGGCATTGGTGAGGCCAAAAGGCATAACTACCCACTCAAAATGCCCATATCGCGTCTTAAACGCGGTTTTGTACCGATCTTGCAGGCGGATGGAAATCTGATGATAGCCCGACTTGAGGTCCAACCTCGAAAAATTGTCAATGCGAGGTAGAGGCGCCGCGTTCTTGATGGTTTGCGCGTTGAGGCGTCGATAGTCAATACAAGGTCGAAGGTCCTTGTTCTTCTTCCGAACGAAGAGAACGGGCGCACCGTAAGGTGAGCTGCTAGGGCGGATCTAACCCTTGTCAAGAAGATCATCGAGTTGCGGACGGAGAACCGTGAGCTCCTCCTCGGACATGCCATAAATGCATCCCTTAGGTGGCACGGCGCCGGCCTCAAGTATGATCTCGTGAGAGATCGGCCGGTCCGGCACTATACCAGAGGGTGTCTCTAAAACATCCGAGAACTCGTCTAACAACCGGGTCACACGGGGGTGGGCAGACAAATCCGTGGACGATGAGTCGGTCGTCGGGACGGTTCGAAGAAAAGCGATGCCAATCTCGTCGACATGCTCGAAACGGCATGTGTCTCGAAAAGATTTGGCACTCACGACTTGGCACCGAATGGAAGAGCGAGGAGGAGGAATAGTACATGGGACCTCGGCGCCAGTTGCATCACGAATTGTGAGCGTGCGTCGATGGAAATTGACCGTGTGGTCCACGCTAGAAAGCCAAGGCATCCCCAAAATGACATTGAAGTCGGTGTCCAACACGTCAAAAGTGACGGGTTCACATGCGTGCGGTGCTAAGTACACCGGGGCAGCCGAGATCTAACGGTCTAAGAGCTGTTTCGTCTTACCGTCGGCAAGAGCGACCGTCGTCGGATGTGACTTCCTCCGTACTTGTGCCCCAAGGCCAGTCCGAGTCATGAAGGACTGGCTGATGAAGTTGCGAGTTGCGCCGCAATCTAGCAAAGCGTTGCAGGCCGCCTGCCCAATTTGAATGCGGACGTAGAGCAACAGTGCGTTGTTTTCTTGGTACCGTTGCGAGACAAACTCGTGGGCCACCTTGGCAACATAGCCAAGCACGTCCCCCACCACGACTTCGTCTAGTGTCGGCGAAGTTGGTGGTGCATGGAAGGAAAGATACTCGTGTAAGAGGGCGCATAGTGCTGCGCTTTGCGGCCTCAGAAGGTTGCCCGTCGTAGGGAGAGGAACCCAAGCGAGGTCCTCGGGCGTGAGCGGGTCCAAAGCCTTCTCGTTGAACACACTTGCCGAATCCCTTGATGAAGACGAAGTGGCGGAATAACCTCTGGACGGTGAGAAAGCCTCACATGTATCTTGTCCTTGAGAAGCAACCAGTGAAGGAATCCCTTGGTGTTGACGACTTTCCCATCTCCCCCCTCCTCTTCATCTGATCCCCTCCTATTCGTCTGTGCATGTCTGGACCTGGCGCCCTCTTTCTATGTATAGCGCCAGGCCCCTTCACACTTGTGATGAGCAGGATGTATGTTTGGTCTGCGTTGAAACATTGAATGGACTAGTCATTAGTATTCTAGCATTCTGCTTCGCTATCTTGTACTACGTGAAAGATTTCAGTCTCGGTCAGTTCAGGATCTGTAGCTAAGTCTTCCCTGCGCTATCAAGCACCATTCTGTATGTATCGAAATGCACATTGCTTGTTGAGATTCCACTTGCATTGCATTGTCCATTCAGTCCTTTTTATCACATTGCAGATCCTCGATTTTACATGTACATCGCCCAACTGGGCATGTAACATATGTCTTCTTCTCCTTCTCCTTGTAATTCTTCTTCTTCTTCTTCTCGTTCTTCTTCTTCTTCCGATATTTGAACTTTTTTTTTTCCCTCGCCGGTGGTCCTTGCATCCTCTACTTCCAGAGCTGCTACAACAGCTGGCTGTTTCTCCAACGCCTGCAGCGGTGTAAGCATCTGGTCCACTGTCTGCTGCAGGTGAAGGATTTCCTCCTGCAGGTGGCCACGAGGTCGTGGGAGATCTGTGCAACGGCTGACAGCCCTTTGTCAGTCTCCGGGGCCCCGTCTGCAGATGCCATTTCCACCCAATGTGCGGTCTCGTCGCCGATCACGGTCTCCCGCGTAAACAGTCGTTCCCGCTGGCGTGACGGGTATTCAGCTGCCGCCTGCAGGTCTGCCTCCTCTTGACGAAGTCGGTCCTGTTCTTCCTTATGTCGCTTGGCCTCCTCTTCTTGCTCAATCCGACCACGTTCCTTGGCCGCGGCGGCAGCCCTGTCATTGGCCTCCTGGATGAAAGCAGCCAGGCATTCCTCATAGGCCAGGAGGGATTCTCCCTCCTTCCGGTCCATGGTCTTGGTATGTGATCGAGTGAGTCGTGGCATGCACTGCTCTGAAGAGTCACCTATGGGCCAATCAGATAGACTGGCCCAGTATTCGGACTGGAGGGGAAAGAACAGGTAGGCAGCAGACAGGTGGGAAGGATCGGACATATCCCAAATTGAACAGTTCCCTAATCAAAAAAGAAAAAAATAATAATTTTTTATTAAGAAGTAAATCAAAATTCGAAACAGACTGTCCAATCCCACTGGGTACCGAAGGTGATGCAGAAAGCAAATGTGAACCTTCGGTGCTCGACTGCAGAGAATCAGAAAAGAAGTATCTTCACAACTCAGAGTAGAAGTAGGTTGCAGAAAGGAAAAAAATGCCGTTGTTTTTTTTTTTTTTTTGAAAAAAAAGAACGGAATTTGCAAACCTACGCAGTGAAGGTGTAGAGGGACATTTTTCGGAAAAAGACTCGAATTTGTCAAAATGCAGACATTTAACAATTAAATAAGGTAATAAAAAATTTTCTCGGAAAAGAATTCTCAGAACGAAAAAAAAAAGAGTTTCTCGGAAAAATAAATTTTCGGAAAAGAATAATAATTTCTCGAAAAAAAATTCTCAGAAAAAGAAATAATTTCTCAAAAAAATAAATAAATAAATAAATAAATAACTCCAGGAAATTTCCAAGATAAAAAAAATTGCCAAATAATCAATCAACAAATTAATCAATCAATCAATCAATCAATCAATCAATCTCAGATGATTGCTGGTTGATTGATCGATTGTTCGATCAACCTCCTGATTGACTGATCAATCAATCGAAGATTGATTGGTGGCAAACCGCYAATCCAATYAATCAATCRATTGATTGGTTGCTGCCAAGATTCATYGCACTAGCTCCGATACCACTTGTAGCATATCAGAAAGTGAAATGCACTGAAAGCCTAGGATCTAGCAATGACGAAAGTGGCAACAACCAGCAGCATAGGTGCAACATTCACAAGGTGTCAATATGCACAATGCAAAGAGTGAAACAACGAGAAATCAACAACAATACATTCGTATCATTATCATCATAGGCTGGGAAGCAGCGCAGCGGAAGATTTAGTATCAAGAGGACACGTGGACAATCAACAACATGAAAGGGATAAACTTCGGAAGGGCAAGACACCAGAAAGATTGCCCTTCCGCTCACACACATGGGGAGAGATCCATAGACATGSGAGAGAGAAGGGGGGAGGGACATAGAGGTATCCAAGTCCAACCCAAGTCTGATCTCCGAATGTCACACACAGTTCAATCCCAATGTAGAGTGTAAGTCCGATCTGAATGTCGCGTCCAATAAGGCAGAAGGCCGTGTCCAAACAATGTCTGCAGTTACCTCTATCTCTACTCTGATAAAGAAGAAGAAGAAGAAGAAGAAGAAGAAGAAGAACTTCGGAGGAGTAGGAGGAGAAGAGGAGAGGAGAAGAAGAAGAAGAAGAAGAAGAAGAAGAAGAAAGCTAGGCGCTTTCTGCACTTACCTGGTGATGGCTGAACTTGCAGGTACCA